CGTGTGCCTTGCCAAGTCAAAGTCAACAAACAAAGAAAAATCCCAAATTATTCTGAAAGTTTCAGGAACAAAGATTCTCTCTCTTTTTGATCCATTTCTATAAAAACCTGCCAGATTTTGGCCACTCTATGATGTCATAACGATGTTTTGTCTTGAGTAACCATTAGCCAATCAGCAACCAAGGTAACCCCCCCCCCTTATCACCTGAATCTCCTCTAGAGCACCATTGAGTTCTTTGTAACCAAATGTCTATCAGAGGGGCGTGGGGAGGGGCTCCTTATTTTCATCTAAAGTAACAGACAGAGAATCAGCACTTTGGAAACAGGGCTGAAACAGAGGGGATTATGGGTAATGCTGCAATGATCTGTTTGGTGTTTCAGTTTTATCACCTGAATCTCCTCCTAGAGCACCATTGAGTTCTTTGTAACCAAATGTCTCTCAGAGGGGCGTGGGGAGGGGCTCCTTATTTTCATCTAAAGTAACAGACAGAGAATCAGCACTTTGGAAACAGGGCTGAAACAGAGGGGATTATGGGTAATGCTGCAATGACCTGTTTGGTGTTTCAGACAATCAGAGACATGTTCTGTATATATCTGAGAGCTCTAATATATTGATGAAGAACAGTATAATAGGGGACCTTTAAATCATGACCCTGAGAAGAACTGATAATTATTATTTCCCCTTTTTATTATCTAAAAAGCCAGCTATGTACACATGGGTCCTTTGGATACGTAGAAGCACTACATGTTTTGCAAATAACATTTCTAAATTCTTCATGGGATGCAAAAGAAGTGCAGCATGTGCATGACACTACTGTTCCCCAACGTTAGCTTTCATCAGTGCAGATGCTAACAGCGTTAAAGTTGAAGGCCCTTACAGATTGTGTTTCTGTGTTTCGTAGGAACAAGCAGATGATGGGCCTCGGCTCTCTGTTCGGAGAAGGAGACCTGCAGCAGCTGGACGGAGACCCGGTGAAAGAGCGACAGGTGGTGGACAGACAGGTCACCGCCCTCTGGGAAATACTGTGAGTCTGGGGCTCTCACAAATACAAAAACGTGCAAAATTGTGCAGATCAATTCGGTTTTTCTATTAAATCTATTTACAATCTTCACACTTATGCCAAATGATCAAACAAAACCTTATTTCTAGGTCAGATACACCTGTTTACAAATCAAACATTGGTTTACTTTCAACATGTGGCTGTTATCATGTAGTGCATATTAAACTCCACACACTAAACCAGGCTCCTCCGCCAAGTGGCTCAATAAAATAGTTATTACAAAGCGACAGAAGGAGTTCTCCCCAGCTATCATAACAAAGGTCGGAAAACCTGGAGACCACATGACGTTCCCTCCTTCGACTTTATGCACACACCGGCCGCTTCCCATCACATGACTGCTGCACCACAGTCTGTTCCTTTCACCTTTTGCTTACACCTGGATTTAACTCTTGAGGATTTAAACTGGATATCGCCTGTTATTTTCTGCGTTGCGACTTAACAGCCTTTTTATGTCTCTCTCTCTGTTCCCGCTCCAGATCAAAGCACGAAGAAGACAGAAGGTACAACTAGTGTCAAAGGCAATCTGTTTGCTTCTTTCTTAAACACCTTTTCTGTGTTTGTTTTTCATCGTGGTCTTTTCTCCTCACGTTTCCGTGTTCGTCCTCTCCCTCATTCTCTCTCCGCCCCCTCTCAGTTCTCCCCTGGCGTCGGCCGTTCACCTTTACCTGCGGCATTCAGGTATCAAGCTAAGAGACTCCAAGGTCTTCCCTGGGCTGAGCACAGAGAAGGAGAAGTGGCTCGCCTTTTTAAAAACGAAAAAGGTAACAGCCCTTTAAAAAAACAATATATATAAAGCTATAATGGGAGGGTAATGTCAGGTTGAATCCACGTTTTCTTTTAATTGAGTACATATACAAGACCGGCGGTTATAAATGTGAACATGGGCATCTGTTTTATTTTTCTAAAATATTCCCCGGTCTTAATTATGCAAAGCAGAACACATTCTGCAATGTGTGTTTACAGAATCAGCAGTGCTGTATATATCTTCTGCCTCTGAGTTTACCGAGGTGTAGGTCACTATGAGTGAGATAAAAAAAAGCTTGGCTGTTTCTGCCATTGATTTGTTTGCCTCTAAACTGTGTCTATACATAACATAACATAACTGTGGAGCAGCAATTTGGGTTCAACTAAAATGTATTTGCATGGCTAACAAAACACAATTGAATAGAAGTCTGTGAAAAGAATGAGGTGTGTGTCTATATATATATATATATATATATATATTCATATATGTTGATTATATGACATGACTGACTCTTCCTTTCTCCATAGCCGAGTGGTCCCAAGAAAGAGAAAGATGGAGAGGATAAAAAGAGAAATCCCATCCTGAAGTACATCGGAAAACCCCGGAACTCCTCCCAGTCTAGTAAATACACACACACACACACACACACACACACACACACACACACACACACACACACACACACACACACACACACACACACACACACACACACACACACACACAGGTATAAACAGTCCCTTCAGGGGGCATTACATTGACTTACATGCATTTCCCGGAGACTTGTCCTAACCTTAACCAAGTCTTCACCCTAAAATTA